TCAGTTCTGAATTACCTCCACAGGTGCTAGCCGTGTCTGCTCTTACCAGCACTACTAGCACCGAAGGGGGTGTTAAGAAAAAAAAAAAATAATAATAATCAGGGTTGCCGGGGTTTGGGACGGGCCGAACACCCGAACCCGAACGCCCGAATGTTCGGCACCCCCTCTCGATGCGCTCGGCCGTTCGGCCGAACGCGGACCCAAAAAAAAAAAAAAAAAAAAAAAAAAAAAAAAATTCAAAAAAAAAAAAAAAAAAAAAAATTTTTTTTTTTTTTTTTTTTTTTTTTTTTGGGGAGGACAAATGCTCCAGTCTATTCGTGGGGAGCAGCACGTGCTGGGAACCGGGCCCAGCGTCCCATATAGAGTTGCAAAAGTCCTTTGATTTTTTTTTTTTTTTTGGGAGGACAAATGCTCCAGTCTATTCGTGGGGAGCAGCACGTGCTGGGAACCGGGCCCAGCGTCCCATATAGAGTTGCAAAAGTCCTTTGAGATACCGGGGCCATTACCCGGCTTCAATTGAGAATCAATCGAAGAACTATTAAGAACTATTGAAGAAATTCAAGAGAATTAAAACGAGGTTGAAAAAGTATGAATGACTTCTAACCTCTTTTGGAATGCTCAGAACCCCTAGACTCCCAAACAAAACTCTCTAAAACTATCCAACACTGTCTTATTCCCTGTCGAGCTCTCCCAGGCCTCACACTCCCACCCCGCTAGGTTACAGAGCAACACTACTCGCCCCAGCTCCGGCCAGCGTAGTCCCAACAGCAACCCTTGGTTGTCCCTTGGAATGCCCACCCCAAAGCATCCCCAGATCTCTCTGCCAGCCCTCACGCTCCTGCAGTCAGCAGGTAACAGGGCAACACCCCAGCACCGGCCAGCGTCGTTCTGGCATCGAAGAACCTCAGATCCATGAATGTGCCAGTATCAAACAGCCTAAAGTGAGTTGATAGAAGTCCCCAGAATCCTAAAGCATTCTCTCTTTTTTTTTTTGGAAGAAACATTGATAACTCTGACAGCAATTACTAAGTCAAAAGGAAAGCCACAGAAGTCCTTCGAATGCTCAGAGCCCCAAGAATTCCTGACAGAACCCTCTAGGATTCTCTAGCACTGTCTTTTCCCTGCCGAGCTCTCCCAGGCCTCACGCCCCCACCCTGCTAGGTTACAGAGCAACACGACTCACCCCAGCTCTGGCCAGAGTCGTCCCAACAGCAACCCTTGGTTGTCCCTTGGAATGCCCACCCCAAAGCATCCACAGAACTCTCTACCAGGCCTCATGCTCCTGCTGTCAACAGGTTACAGGGCAAGGCCCCAGCTCTGGCCAGCGTCATTCTGGCATCGAACCGCCGCAGATCTGTGAAGATATCAGCATCAAAGAAGCCTACAGTATGCAGAAGAATAAACTGAACAACATTTGCCTCAACGTTACATCCAAATTCTTTACCAAATTTGAAATAAAAATCAAATACTAAAAATAAAGAATAATCATGAAATAATCAGAAAATTAGAAAAAATAAAACGAGAATGAAATTATTGAATGGGAGAGCACGTTTTTGACACCGCGATCTTTGGCGATTTTTCTTTTTTTTGGCTGTGACAAATGCCACAAAACATTATATATGTGTATGTTACATAATAGAGAATCTACAAATAAAGTTTGAAAAAATAATAATTTCTTTCATGCCCCGAAATAAAGGAAAAATAAAAAGTGAAAAGAGAGAAAACAAATTAGTGAGTGGGCAAGCAAGTTTCAACACCACCATCTTTGCCGATTTTTCATTTTTTTTTTTGGCTGAACAGAATGGCTTCAGAATTAAGAGGGAGATACCTTGCATCACAAAGAACTCACAAAAAAAAATTCAGAAAAAAATAATAATATTTAGGTGCCAATTTTTTTTTTTGCGGGGTCCGAACCCCTTCAGGTTCGGCCCCCATACGGGGACCCGAACGCTCGGGGGTCAGCTTAGGGGCCACCGTACGTTCGGCCTGGCAACCCTGATAATAATAATAATAATAATAATAATAATAATAATAATAATAATTTTGAATTACCTAGGGCCGGTCAGTTCGATGGTGATATGATATTTCAAGGCGGATGCCTTTTATTTTATTTCTTAATTTTTTTATTTTGTTTTTTAGAAAAAGGGAAGGAAAAAAAAATCCATCTCCCCAGGGGCCTGGACCTATTAGCGAAGTATTCTACCACTCCGTTCAGGATTTCAATCACGTGTGGCCTCGAGGGACGCAGTACGGCCGTCGATTACATCGAATCTCGACAGCCTGGTAGTTCCGAGCGGGGACTGTAAAGATGCCCACCTCCCGTCCAATGAGATGCGTCGAAAAAAAACAACAACAAAGTCGGACATGATAGCTCGTGGCTTTGCGTGGGCGGGAAGTCTGGATTTTCTGGACTCCAAAGGGGGGGGTTGATTTCCAGACTTCGTTTTCTTTTTTTTTGGCTCTGAGAAATCGAACTTGAAATGTGAAATTCAGATATCGTGGTGGATCTGACAGGAACACTTCTGCGTCTGTCGGATGGCCTGTTAGAGGCAACATGAGATAAACAGTGATGAATGTATCCCCATACCCATTACTTGTTCGTCCTGGTGGCTGTGTTCGTGGACACATTTTATTGCCATGGTACATCACTATGAAGACTTACGTGAAGGAGATCGTACCAACCCATGAATTCAGGTGCACAGCTGTTCTTCATAGTTTTATGTGCTATTTCAATTCATTTTAAATCAGAAAACGATCCATTCATGCAAATAAAAAATCACTTTGTATTTTCCAAAAAACCATAAAATTGTAGGATACTTCGGTAGCGGGTCCAGGCCCCAGGAGGATGACTTTTCTTTTTTTTTCCTTTTCTTTTGGAAAGTGTCACCGTTTTATATTACTCGGAGAATAGGGCCGGGAATTCCCCACAAACAACCCGGTGAGGATCACAAGCTCAAAATTGCTGCTGAGGCCTTTCCTCAGCTTTGGCTCCTGGAAACGGGGTCCAGTGTCCCTGAGCTCTTACAGCTCCGCAAAAGATAAAAAAAGGAAGTCGGGAATCCGAGGGATAAGAGGAGAACTCTACTAGTACTATCCTAAGCCTGCAGGGGGTTTTCCACTTACCCGCTTCTAAACAAAGAATGGTTTAAGGGGGGGACACTGTTTCTTTCTCCAAAACCAATAGATTTCAACAGCCAAGGGCAGCATGACACTCTGCCCTCTGAGCTGATCTGTGCTAATTTAGAGTCCCTTCCCCAAGTATCTAGAGAGAGGCGGTTAACGGAGGCCCAAATTTACAGACAACTTGTCACGCCATTTATAGCAAAATCCAAGGGTCATTTTAACCAATCTTGCCACGAAGTCGTAGAGTAGATACCATACTTACTAACCGCGAAAAAAAAAAAAAAAACGAAAAAAAAAAAAAACGAACTATAAAACAGCAAGGCAAAAGTGCACTTTCATGCAAATGTCGCCAACAATCAGTTTCAGAAATCTTGAGAAATTTCAGAAATCTTAGCAGAGGAAATTCCAGTGCTCCAAATGAGACCAAATTTGGTACTTGGGAAATTTCAGAAATCTTAGCAGAGGAAATTCCAGTGCTCCAAATGAGACCAAATTTGGTACACAACAACCTTGAACCAAAACAAAAACAGGCAAAAAAAAAAAGGAAAAAAAGAAAACAATTTGACCCCCAAACCCTAGTTTCAGTTTCAGAAATCTTGAGAAATTTCAGAAATCTTAGTAGAGGAAATTCCAATGTGCAATCAGACTCGAATTATTCACACTTTACATACACATGAACAGCAGAATAGCAAACTGGCATTGTGCGCCCACACAGAACTCAGAGATATGGCCTCCAGTTCTGAATACATCTTCAGCCACTATGCCATCGATGTCATATCTTCCATCCATATCGGGTGGGATCATCGATCCACGGGATGGAAACTGATCACTTGTCTGACAAGGTAACAACTTCGATGCATGGAACACTGGGTAAGTGTGGAGGTGTGCTGGAAGTTCTATGGTATATGACGGTCCATCTTCGCCGCCCTTGACTTCTAGAACGGGCCACGGTCCTCGATATGTGGGCAGTAACTTTTGCGAGATGTTCTCCTCAGGCGTAAACTCCTTAGAACTGACCCAGACTAAGTCGCCTACCTGAAACTGTGAAGGGCGACGATGTTTGTTCGCTTGCTCTATCATCCTATGCTGGGCTTTCCTAAGGTTCTCTACAACAGTAGCCAGTTCTTTCTCGTGCTGTACAGCAAACTCCCTGGTCCCGGGCGGTAATCTGTGAATCTGATCCCGGTTGAGTCCCTCAAACGGTCTGCGCGGTCTAAAGGACTTGTGCCTGTCTCTTATACACATCTAGATGTGTATAAGAGACAGCTGTACATGCGCAGAACTTGCTGTAGGATCTTGTTCATTTGCTCTGTTTGACCGTTAGTCTCTGGATGACGGCCGGACGACATCAACAACTTAGATCCATATACTCCCATGAGTTCTTGCCAGTTCTGGCTAGTAAAGCGACTATCTTTATCGCTAACTATAGACAGTGGGATTCCATTCTCACTCACCCAACAGTCAAAAAATCTCTGTATGACTAAATCCGTACGTGCCTCTGAAGGCAAAGGAACAAAAACTGCGTACTTRCTAAAACGGTCAACTATGACCATGACTTGGCTCTTGCCATGCCTACTCTTGACTTGAGTGTCCATGAAGTCTATGGACACTGAGTCTCCCGGCTGATCCGGAATGGGCAAGGGTCTGAGAAGACCTAGCGGGGTGCGGGTAGAACTCTTGTTGCGCTGGCAAACTTTATAACTGCGAACATACTCTACGTAGTCATTCTTCATCCCCGACCAGGTATATGCGCGCATTAGATTGGCTAAAGTCTTTTGCCAACCGAAATGACCCTCTGTGTCGTGGCATTCCCCCAAAATCAAACGACGGATCTCTTCGCTATTGGGGATGCACAACCGGTCAAAAACAGTAGTCTTCTCAAAAAGCAACCCCTCAGTAGTGCGGTAGTTTGGTTCAGTCCTGGGCCTCCTTGACCTTCTTGAGGAGGTCACTATAGATAGGGTCCTGCGCGTAGGCTTCTCTAACCTTCTGTTGCAGATCCTTCCCTATATCGAGGTAATGTACTACTGCCCCAAAGTAATCAGCTCTCCTACTCAGAGCATCCGCGACTACGTTGTACTTCCCTTTGACAGGCTTGAGCTCGAAGTCGTACCGATCTATCTCTGCGGCCCACCTAGTAAGCTTAGGTGTCATCTTGGCTTGCGTCTTTGACCATCGTAATGTTTCATGGTCGGAATAGACTTTGAAGTGCCTCCCAAGCAAGTAGTGCTTCCAGTGGTCTAAGGCTTGCCCGAGAGCGTAGAGTTCCCTCTCATAGGTAGATGTCGCAACCTTCTCTGAAGGCATTCTGGCGGACATGAACTCTACGGGTCTATACCCATTGCCATCGTCTTGCTGTAACACTGCGCCTATGTCGTATTGACTTGCATCGGTCGTGACGACAAAGGGCAAAAACGGATCGACGACTTTAAGGATTGGATACTCTATCAATGCCTGCTTTAACTTCTTCATGGCAGACGTACAGTCCTTATCCCACTTCTTGATGGTCTCCTTCCTCAACAATCTGCGAAGGGGCGCAACAATGGTAGAGAAGTTCCTGACGAACTTCCGGTAGTAATTAGCTAAGCCCAGGAACGAGCGCAACTCTGTCAGCGTACATGGCGTGGGCCAGTCTCTAATCGCTGCGATCTTGCCATCCTCTGGCTTAACGCCGTCTCCGTCTAAGACGTGGCCTAAGTACAAAACTTGGGTTTTCGCCCAATCGCACTTCTTTGCATTGATCTTGAAGTTAGCTTCCCTTAGCTTCTCCAAGGCCTGCCTGAGATGACCCTGACGCTCTTCAAGGGTCCTGCTAAACACTAGAATGTCATTTAGGTAAACTACAACAAATCTGTCTAACCACGGCCTAAACAAATCGTTCATATAGCACTGGAATGTAGCTGGCGCATTGGTTAGTCCAAAGGGCATTACTATGAACTCGTAGTGCCCATATCTAGTCCGGAAGGTTGTCTTGTACTGATCATCAGGATGCACTTCTATCTGGTGATATCCGGACTTCAAATCTATCTTGGAAAAATACTTCGCCCCCTGCACTCGATCTAAGAGATCGTCTATCCTAGGTAGTGGCTCAACATTCTTTACTGTAATAGCATTCAGACCCCTATAGTCTATGCACATCCTCAACTCTCCCTCTTTCTTAGGAACAAAGAGAACAGGCGCTCCAAAAGGAGACGAACTGGGCCTAATCCAACCCTTCTCGAGGAGCTCGTCTAATTGCTTGCGAAGCTCCTCTAACTCCCGTGGGGACATCCTATATACAGCGCCCTTAGGAGTTCTACTGCCAGGCTCTATCTCAATGCGGTGTTGGATGGGCCGCGGTACTACTCCTATCAGCGACTCGGTTAGATCCTTGAACTCTTCCAGCAGCTTGGCAATCGCAGGGTCCGTCGACTTTTCTTCCGTAGGCTCAGTCACTGGCCTAACATAGGCAACAAAAACCTGTTCCTCCAATTTCTCCTTTTTCACCAACCTGGCGAACGCAGGAGCACTAAGACAGCAATGTGCCAAGGGATTCTCTACCCCTGACACATGGAACAGGCGGGCAGCCTTGGCCTCGCCTGAAGAGCTAGGGAGCCTACACTCGTGCTCCTTCAAATGGAGCGTGGCCCCGGCTGCCTCTCCCCAATCCATTCCCAGGACAATATCAAATGGGAGGCTGTCTTCTACGAGGAGAGTTAGGGAGTGGAGAACCTTCTCCACTTTCCCATCCTTCTCTAGGCGAAAATACGCATGGATTCCCTCTACGTACTCCCCTACAACCGTAGTACGATTGTCGGCGAGGATACTAATTATAGGGTCTGCTAACTTTTGGACTTTAAGTCCCACCTTCAACTTCTGCAGCGCTTTCCTACTAATATAGCTGCAGGTGGCCCCTGAATCTACTAGGGCCCCTACTCTGCCTCTAAAAATCTCTGTATCTACTAATATAAGCTGCCCTTTATTCTCCTTCTTCATCTTGACCCAGGCGGGCATCCTCTCTTTCAACTCTTTGGCCACGCCTGTGAGGGAGGTATCTAGAGAGACTCTAACACAAGCAGTCTCTGGACAGCTATCTAGACACCGGCCTGCAACCTCTGCCATAGGCACATGTGGTGTGGGAGTCTCCTGCCGGCTAGCGCTATGTTCCCCACATGGCCTAATGGTAGGGGCAGTTGCTACCCCTACCGGCGGCTGCCTTTTGACTCCTGCGCAGCCATCCAGGTCTCTCTGTACTTAGGACAATATTTGATGATATGGCCCGGGTCACTGCAGAAAATGCACTGGCCCCGGTCCAACCGTTGTTGCCATAAGCCCTGGTCCAGACCCAAACTTTCCCAAGGCCTACCCTGAGGTAGCCCTGGGTGCCATCCACCTACCCTATAGGGAGACCTATTCCTAGGACGGTTTTGCGGGGGACCTTGACCCCTTCCTCCCGCTTGGCGGTTTCCTCCTCTGTCGCCAACCCCCTGATCGCCCTGAAATCGGCTCCCTGAGGCCCGGCCCCCTCGGCCCTGGCCTCGTCCTCCTCCTTGCGGCCTCCCTCCGGCCGCGACAGCAGCGTAAGTTCTCCCCTGGCCCACGCCGTTGTCCTCGTCCTCCAACCCCCACTCAATCTGATCGTAGGGGATCTCATCCACACTACCCTCATCTAAGGTTATGACAAGACTATCCTTAGTCTTCACTTGCCCTGAGATAGTGCGTCCCTTCCATTGCTTACCCTTGTCCAAGTCCTTGTGCCAGAGGTAGACACTGACATAGACTTGGCTTCAAAAGCCACCACTTCACGACTAAGAGAATCATACGTAGTGGTGGGGTCTTCGCTCTTCGCGAAGAAGTGCCCTCGAAAGGCTTCGGGCATAGCCCGGTAGAAGAGGCCGACCAACTGGGTGTCTGTGACCCCGTGGTCAGGTACAGCCACTAGTTCGTCCATAGTGCTCTTGAGTGCCCTCGCACTCTTCCATTTTCGAGCATGGATTGTTTGAAGCCTGTCTGAGGCTTTAACACTGCGGGCGACATCAGCAAATCGCTCGCGCAGCAACTTCATGAACTCGGTGAGGGAGGTGAATGACGAATAGGCAACTGCATCATCGTTGCAGTTGGCGGCGCGAACTAGGGACCTTGCAAAGCTGGCAGCTTCGTCTCTGAGCGCGTGGATCGCAATCAAGACATGCTGATCCGGGGAGACCTGTTGCAGGTGCACGTAGGTCTTAACGTTGGCCTCCCAGTTGTCAAAGTTCTCTTCCCTCTTCCCGCTGTAGGAATCAGGGAACTTGACCTTGACTGGCTCCCGACGAGGATGACGTGCTTCCTCCTCCTTGGGGGCTGCCACTTTGACGCCTTCAATGGCGCCAACACAAAAACGCTCAGTCTTCTCGAGGCGATGATTCACCTCGGCTCCTACGGCTCCTATCAGTTCGCGCGCAAAGTCCCGAAATCCCATTCGCATCGAGCGCACAGCTATGTCCTGGCTTCGACTAAACTCGTATTGCTGTTCTGGTATCTTTGCTAGACGCTCGACGCTCTGCGCGAGTATCTCCACCTTTCGTTCGAGGTCTACTTGGGGGGTCAACTTTAGACTTACTTTCTGTACTTCTTCTAACTCCTTGACCGCCTCACTCGCCGCCTCCACCCTTCTCTTTTTTTCTCTCATCATCGCGAGTTTCCACTCCATCCTCTGCTCATCCTCCATCGCCTGCCGCTTCAGCACATCCTTTTCTGCTTCACATTTCTTCAGGGCGGCTTCCTGGTCATCCTTGGGGATATACATAGCCACTTCTTCTTCCTCTCCCAAGGACAAATTAGCGACCCACTCTGAAATCTGTTTCTCCATTTCCTCATCCTTGTTACCACTATGCTGCCCTCTCCTTCTTTCCAGTGGCGGTCCCTCGTCTTCTTCCTCTTCCACCTCTTTCAACTTCTCTTCTTCTTCTTTCTGTATCCTCTCCTTCTCTCTGGCCATCTCTTCTTCTATCTTCTTCAATTTGGCCGCCTGCTCCTCCTTCACGGCCTTCTTCTTGGCCTCCTTCTTCTCCTTCCTCTCCTGAAGAATGGCGGCCATCTTCCCCTCCTCCTCCTTCGTGTAAGGTTGGGTGGAAGTACCACCCCGAGTCCCTACTCTACACGTGAACGTGGGCCAGAAGCCCAGAGGAAAGCGGAGACGCCAAAGGGTCCCCTAGAGGGAGAACCCAACGAGCAACCCATACATCGGATAGTTGTCCATCGTGGTGTTAGGTGCACGACAAGAGTCCCACTCCTCACCACTTAGACCTACCCGGACACACCGACCTACTGAATAACTCTCTAAGATCCACTACTCACAACTACTCTACGGCTGTCACTACTGAACTAACAACTGATCAGGAGGCATTTAAGGAGATCCTCCAAACTCCGCAAGAATTCTTTAACATCGCAGTCAGGACGACGTGATCAGCGTAGTTCTTCCTGGCGATTTCAGCCCACAACTCATCCGTTCCGGCCTACTGTGCCACACCGAGCAGCCCGCCGGTCTGTACCGGTCCGTGGAGGGGTTCGTATCCCTCGGGACAGTCGAGTCGTCATACACAGATCATCAGCCTTACTGGGTCCGGTAGAGGAGTGGTTCAACCAGGCCTCAACACTTAAAGACGGCCTTCGTTTCAGCCTGCAGCTCGGAGTTCAGACCCTCTACACTGAACTCAGTAGACCTGCCGGACAGTACCGGTCATTGGGCTAGACGAGTTGTTTAACGAGCGCTCGCCGCTCATGCCCAGGTCTCCAGATGTCAGAGTAGAGCTTAGTCCTACTAAGTCCCGTGCAGGTTTGGCAGCAAGGCCCTATCCTTCATCCACAGAGTCCTAACACCTAGGACAGAAGAGACTCAATGCAGAAAGGAAAGACAGACAGACTCAAACTCAGCAAGTATCGTAGGGGAGTGCACATCCGCAGGGTAAGGGGATAGAATAAGGGCTCAGCGAGATATCACCAGCTCCAGCTTGGTCAAAATCTTGGTCAGCAGCTCCGGTCAACGCCTTGGTCAACGTCGAGTCAACGCGGGCAACCCCCAGTCAACGCTTGGTCAACACCCTTGGTCAACCCTTGGTCAACCCTCTGGTCAACACTTTGGTCAACGCCCGGTCAACCCTTCACCTCGGCTATGGCCGTCGGCACCTTCACCTTCGTCACCCTCGCCGCTTACTTCCCCTTCCTTCACCGGACCACTCAACTCGCCTCACAGGTAAGTGACAACCAATCTTGGATCACTCATCTCTCTCTCTCTCTCTCTCTCTCTCTCTCTCTCTCTCTCTCTCTCTCTCTCTCTCTCT